CGGCACCTAGCGGGGCGGGCGGGCAGCGCAGCGCGCCCGGGCCTGGCCGGGGGAGGCGGCGCCTTCCCGCCCCGCCGCGCTGCGGGGGCGCTACCGGCCCCCTCACAAACCTGAGGGAGGAGAGCGCGCGGTCCGCCCTAAATAAACGCGGTTAATTAACACGGAGGCTGATGGTTTAGGGAGGGGCGTGAGGAGTCATCCTGGGATGGACGTGCCAACATTTCCTTCCTTTGTAGTCCACAGATCATTCTGAATCGGCTACACGAGGGAATTCGTTAATAATAGTCCATATGATGCTCTTTTGGGTATTCACTGAAGATAGGAGTTACCTATGGAAGGTACTTAGTGGGTTTGCATAGTTGTAATTGTTTCTTAACACCTGGACTACAGTTTTCTAAGGAAGGGAAGGGAAAATGTGCCTGGACTAAAGGGCAAAAATGGTTGAAAAGGTCTGAGACTGTACTCATAAAAACAATCACATATTACTCGAGGTAGATTCCAGTTATTTACTAAAAAATTTCACTGCTGTTCTATAAACCTTTTGTAATTTGATACCACAAGGATGTGATCATGCACATAATTAACTTTGAGCAAAATCATCTATTTAGCTTCCAATCTAACAAGAAAACCACCTGTACTGAAAATGAAAGCCATTGTTCTGGGAAATATTTTAATAAAGTATTTCACGGATTTTCCTTGATATAAACAGAAACAACTTCAAGACTAGGGAAAAAAAAAAATGCTTTAGAAACACAACTGTGTGACCTGGGAGCTTTACAAGCAGCATGGACATGAGCCACAGTGTGTCCTGGCACCCTTGACCTCCTGGACCAGCAAAATTCATTCCAAATGCTAACTTCTTTTAAACTTTTATTTTTTTTTTTTGTACAATCATATTAGAAATTTCAATCAGTTTGAAGCTAATTGAGTCAGAAAAATATAAACTAGACTTAGCAAACAGTTTATTGACAGTAAGTTTTTGATCAATAATGGGTCATGAGTCATGGAGGTTCGTATGAAAATCTGTTTTCATTGATATTGATTCTCTAGAAATTAAAGTAACTTCTTATTCCCTACTAAGCCCATTGATATAGGAATTGTAAAGCTCAATGTGGCTGTGAATTGTGATAACCCTCAAATGCTAACGTTAATCAGTTCATTACTATCAGATTAATGAACAGAGTGAGAGAGCTGTGCAGTGTAGAGCTAGAATTTCAGAAGTGCAGCAGAAAAACAATCAAATAAAAATGCAGAAGACAAACATGAGAGAAACAGTAAAAGAATGATAGAGACATGAAAAGTCCAAATGACAAATTGGTGGTCTGACAAGGAATATTTTCTCACGAGTATGACAATAAAAAATGTCTGTGTTTCACCCATGCATTCAATTGCTTCTGCTACTGCTGGAGGAAAAGATGCAGTGGTTTGATGGGAATACAAAAGTCTTGCATTTTTATGCAGTTCCACAGAAAATTAGATCTATCTCTTCCAGACGAGTTTGAGATTCATTTGTTTTATGCACAGCACTTACTAATAGCGCATATTCGTTGCTTTCTTCCGCTTTGAGCAGGTGATAAACATCATTCTCGCTACATGTTAGTGAACATATTAGAAAAGTCCAAAAGGAAGCTAGAGAGGCTTAGAGGTCACTATACAAAAAATAGGAATATTTGGGGGGGGGGGGGGAGAAGCATGGTGAAAATTTTCAGTTTTACCTGGACAAATTTTCCTGTAATTTCCAAATTTTCTGCTGATCACACAAAATGCAGTAAAATATCCTTCTTAATAAAATGAAAGGCATCAAAGACTTAAGTTCCGCAATACTAAGTTCCACAATGTATGTCCTATGGAAAAATTAGCATTTAAGCAGGTGAAAACTCAGTCTTCTTTTGGTATTTTGTATATTGGTAGCTGAAACTACTTCCAAGTTCACTTGCATGGGATATCAGCTTAGGAAGAAATAATCTTCTAGTAAGAGAAGAAGAAGAAGCAGAACAAAGTGCTGCCAGAGTACTCTCTAGTTTGAGATGAAGAGGTATCATAACTGAATGTTAAAATAGCTTATTTGACTGTCCAGCGGTCTGCAAACTCCAATTTAGGAATTTAGGTTTTCTCTTACATGATTATCATTAGTCACAGACGCACTTCCATGTTAACATACTTGATATCTGGGGTACACAACCCAAACGAGTATGTGGACCATGTTGATAATGACTTAGCAACTTTAAGCTTTACCTTAAATCTTCATATTCTCAATGTCACAGTAAAAAGATATAATAATGATGCAGGCCAGTCCTGAAGAATTAAAATATAAGAAGAATGATACTGTTCCAAAACCTAGATCAGCAACACTTCCAAGCCAAGGGGGTTGGAACCTGAACCTTAATCTACGGCTAACACTTGCCTGTGTTTGGAATTAAGAAAGAGAAACAATAAACAATACTCATTGAAACATTCCTGTATTTGTGTGCTGAAAACAAGCAAACTTTTCTCAACCAGCATGTTAATCCACAACTAATGATCTTAATCCAAATTCTAGAAATGTAGTGTACATTTTATAGTTTGAGATGATGAAGTAATACTTTGTTTAACTATTAAAAAAAAAGTTATAAGAACTATTTGGCAATCACTTCTCTGAGAATGTTTCTCCTTTCAAACGCCAGCTTAATAGAAACAGCCAGTACTAGATAATGTTTGGGATTATTTGTTCAAAGAGCGCTGACCAAATGGAGATCATTTAGAAAATGTGTACACATGCCTTTTTTGTACCATTTTTCTTCTGCGTCAGAGCTTGGGGAACATCTCCAAAAAAAGAAACGATCCCCAAAGAATGACTTTTTTTTAAGTGTATGTTTTAGGAATTTAGAGTAAGATAATTCTGAAAATAACCAAAGGAATCAAAACCATAAAAATGAACAAACAAGCAAAAACACTAAAAACTCTGGCAAATAAATATTTTGATTACAATGGAATTCTATCTATTTTGAAAATAAGGAGACATCTTAGCTTTTAACAAGGAAGTTTGTCTCTTTTAAAGGCACCCTAGGAAGCCTGTGAAGCTTTTACCAGCACACAGAAGTCTCATGAAGAGATAGAGAATAAGCTAAAAGGCTGTTGTGTGAAACTATTAAGTAAATATCTCTTTTGAATGCTGTAGTTTGTCACACTTCAGATAATAAGTTATTACTGACAAAGATGTGCACCACGTAAGTATAAAACATGTAAGATTTAATAGCCTAGGAGAACTATTCCGTGTCATTTAGTCTCATGTAGTTACCTCAAGATGAGGGCGGCCATACCATGTAAATTTTAGTTGCCTTTTTTTTTTTTTTTTAAATATAACACAATTTCAGGAGTAGGGTTGTTTTGGGGGAAGAGCAGTGCACAGGCACCTATGAGTCACTAGGTGCTTTACTCCGATTCTAGAAAGTTTCTTTTAGAAGAGAACATTTTGCTGGTTTCAAATAATGCGCCTGGAGCATGAATTCCGAGGCTAAGATTTGAAAAACAGAACAACTGCTATAACGGCTTTTTTTTTTTTTTTTTTTTTCCCTGAATGGAGTTGAAATACATGTCACACTTTACATCGCCTTTGTTTAAAAAACATGTAACCACTCCGGTGCCTTCGCCGAATCGGGGGTTAAAAACCGCTCCAGAGGCCGCAGTTCCTGCGACCTCCCTCGTGACTAACGCCACGAATCCCCTCACGCGGATCCCGGGGCGGCCGCCGCCGCGCGGGGCGGGGCGGGGCTAGAGCGCTCCCTCGGGCGCGGGGCGGCGCAGGCGGCCGCTGCTCGCGCTGCTCGGCCGTGCCCGGGGCGCCGCGGGCGCGCGTCCCGGCATCCCCCGCGCGCCGCCGCGTCCCCTCTGACCCGGGCCCGTCGCTGCCCCATCCGGGCTCTTGGCGCCACACGG